CAAGTAGTCTAGCTACATTTCCACCCACGGAGAGATTCGAACACTTGCACGTTGACATCGTTGGACCATTACCTACTTCACCGCAAGGACATCGTTATCTCGTAACAATGATCGACAGAACAACAAGATGGCCAGAAGCAATACCTACCGATGATACTTCAGCCGAATCCGTCGCGAAGATAATTTATGAAAATTGGATTACTCGTTTCGGATCACCTAAAACCATCACAACGGATCAAGGAAGGAATTTCGAAAGCAACCTATTCCTCAAACTTCTTCAAACTATGGGAATACAGAAGACGCGTACAACAGCATACCATCCTCAGTCAAACGGAATAATCGAACGATGGCATCGTACATTAAAGACTGCACTCAAAACTCGTTTATCTCAACATACAAAGTGGATTGATGAGCTACCTACAGTGCTACTCGGACTACGAGCAACACCGCGTGCAGACACTAGTCTTAGCGCCGCTCAGCTAACCTACGGCTGCAGCATAAGGCTGCCGTGTGACTTCTTCAGTTCAGCAGCGTCAAACAAACAAGAAATGGATTACGATTTCGTAACTAAACTTCGAGAATCAATTAACAAAGCCTTATCGTTGAAATGCACCGAAATGCAATCACACAGAAATAATAAATCAGTATTCATTCACCAAGATTTGAAAACATGCAAACAAGTTTTTGTAAGAAACGACGCAATGAAAAAACAATTTCAACCTACCTACGATGGACCGTATAAAGTATTAGAGAGAAATAGCAAGACTTTTAAACTACAAATACCCGGAAGGAAATCTACGATTATATCGATCGACCGACTAAAGCCTGCCTATATTATTAACGAGGATACTGCAGAGGATTCATCATCATCATCAAAACCACCAGCGAGGAAGCTTGAAACTTCATCATCTACATCAACCCAGTTGAAATCTATTTTAAAAACTACGAAATACGGGCGAGTAGTCAAGCCTCCGGTACGCTTTCGCTGGGGGGAGAGTGATGTAGCAGCCAGATTAATCAAACCTAAACGGGAATAAATAATATATACTCCGCTGCTACCATAACGCGGAAGGCGAGAATAAATAAAAAAACATTTTATTTCCTAATTATTCTTGGCTACTGAGATACTGCGGACTGTATATAGATAATTTGACGTTCTTATAAAGAAACAAGAAGCAGCCGCAAATATCATTCAGCGCCACACCGACTTCACACGCCGCTATCGTCACGTATCTGTCGACCAATGGTGAGCCGTTTCTTCAACGCCGCAGTTCGTTTCCTCTTGCTGTTCCGGAGCTGTATTCCACACTGCCGCCGCCCGCCGACTACGCGTGCGCACCGATCTGCATGTCTTATATAGCCCGGTCCAGCGACGTAGCTTCGTGAACAACAAACAAGTCTCACGCCGGGAAACGAAACGTAGATAATTGTATATTTTAAATAGTTTTCATTGCTCATAAAATAAGCAATATAATTGGCTAGGCAAAATATTAATTGTTACCATTGGCAAATCAATAGTGAGCCAGCCATATAAATATAGGCAAGGTTGATGCAAAAGATATTCCATTCTGAATCCCATTCGACAGTACCTTCATAAACATAAACAGTAGTTTCATTTCTCCACCTTAAAGAAAACCACTCGGAGTCTGTTAATAGTGGACAGTTCGTCTCCACTATTACAAAATACAAATATTATTTTTGTTTTAAATATTGGATGCTATATTACTAAAAACATGCATATCATTCTCTAATTGGCGTCCGTATTGTGACCCATGCACATTGAGAACTTTCTACGCTCATGTTTGCTTACATTTAAGTTTCTTTAGTTATATTTTCCCTTGCTTAGTTTTCTGTTTAAATATATAAATAAATAATATTTAGTAACTTAGGTAAATAAACTTGTTTAAGTGGATTAATGTATTTGACATCGATATTGTACAGAGTATTTGCCCATATACGGACGTAAGAATATCCTAAAATATACACACTAAGTTTTATTTGACGTCCATTTTTTTGATATCTGATGTCCAATGTCGTTGTTGATTATTGTGTTTTACTATTTATTTATGTTGATTATTTATTTAGTGCTCAAGGCATATTTTGGTATTTTTTGTTGGTTTATACTGTACTCAGTGCTTGTAGATAATTTTACCTTCAAATTTGTTTTCGTGGCTTCAGATTTAGCTACACATAATGATATGGACGTCCGAATATCCTAAAACATTCGTACTGAATGATATTTGACGTCCATATTTTTGAATTTTGTTATATTTCTATATATGAACGTCCGATTATCGGCAGTTTCATACCGTACGATATTTGACATCCAAATAACCATGAATATATTTTAATTCCTTGTGTATAAGACAAAAATAACAGATCTTTGCATCAAATTAAAAATGTATTAGATTAGTTTAGCACGAATAATACAGTTTTTGTGATTCTGGTTCAGACTAGGTTTAATTTTAGTCACTTAAGTTTCGTATATTGTTCAAAATAATGACATAAATCCACAGAATGCGCAATTACGAAAAATACGATATATCATTTTTGTCTCCGGCTAAAAAAAAAACAGAAGATATCATGGTTAATTTACCAACTAGTTATCCATTTAGTAAATACGAAAAAATATCTAGGATTGCCCAGCCGTGACACATTATAGATTGATTATATTATTATTTATTTTACTATTGTAAATAAGTACTGATGTAAATGAAACAAATATTGACATCAAATGAAATGTTTATAAAACAATCACCTCCTTTAATCATTCGTTCAATGAGGTAGACACTTATAATAAAGATTTGTAACAAGTAACATAATTAACACAAAGAAATAACATAGATAGTATTTTAGAGTTAAACTTTTGGCGCACACAGTACCCCAAAAACCGCAACAAACGGCAATATTTATCAAAAAAGAGTAAGAAAGGTGTTCTAAGCGTTTCATCATTTCAAGAATGAAACATTATATAAAACACCAAAGTGACTATTTCACACCGCATGGCATCTCTACACTAAAATACGAATAAAAACAATAGCGAAAAATTTTACTAAAACAATAATCATTAAAGTGTGTCTTATATACAAGGAATTAAAATAGAAATATATTCATGGTTATATGGACGTCAAATATCGTACGGTATGAAACTATACCAATAATCTGATGTCCACATATAGAAATATAACAAAATTTAAAAATATGGACGTCAAATATCATTCAGTACTAATGTTTTAGGATATTCGGACGTCCATATTATTATGTGTAGCTAAATCTGAGGACACGAAAACAAATTTGTAAGTAAAATTATCTACAAGCACTGAGTACAGTATAAACCGACAAAAAATACCAATTGAGCACTAAATAAATAATCAACATAAATAAATAGTAAAACACAATAATCAACAACGACATTGGACATCAGATATCAAAAAACTGGATGTCAAATAAAACTTAGTGTGTATATTTTAGGATATTCTTACGTCCGTATATGGGTAAATACTCTGTACAATATTGATATCAAATACATTAATCCACTTAAACAAGTTTATTTACCTAAGTTACTAAATATAACTAAAGAAACTTAAATGTAAGCAAACATAAGCGTAGAAAGTTCTCAATGTGCATGGGTCACAATACGGACGCCAATTAGAGAATGATATGCATGTTTTTAGTAATATAGCGTCCAATATTTAAAACAAAAATAATATTTGTATTTCAACTAACTGCAAAACCAAACATATTATCATAATTTAACAAAAATAGCTTTTCACAAAAATTTATCAAGTTAGTAGATAGTAATTTCGTACAGATTAGGTACAATAGTCGCACTCATCCTTAAGATAGTGATCATAAATAGTAAAATCCCAGTGAGAGCACCAAAACTCAACACAATCAAGTAAATAAATTATATTTTCAGAGTTATTCATGTTAGCAACAATATGCCATGGTATATTGTAGAAGTTAACGACCCATGTGCAGTTAATGCAGTAAGACCTTATATTAAAATGAGTTTCTTCCCAAGGCCATATTTTAGGTTATTAGTCAGAGGTTATTAGTCACAATATAATAAAACAAACTTCTATTAAACCTGTCGATATGTACAATTAGTACTTATTTACAATAATAAAATAAATAATAATATAATCAATCCATAATATATCACGGCTGGGCAATCTTAGATATTTTTTTTGTATTTACAAAATGAACAGCTAGTTGGTAAATTAATCATGATATCTATAGTCTGTTTTTTCGCGGGAGACAAAAATTACATTTCGTATTTGTCGTAACTGCACATTCTGTGGAGTTATTTCATTATTTTGAACAATATACAAAACTTAAGTGACTAAAATTAAATCTAATCTGAACCAGAATCTTAAAAACCATATTATTCATGCTAAACACACTATAGCTATCTATATATGAAAAAACAGACTATAGCTATCTATCGAACTCATACATACATATACAAAATATTACCTATAAATAAAATATTACAAAGCGGAATAACTAATAAGAGTGGCAATGTCGCAATATACAAAGGAGTTGCGTTAAGCAGGAGAATGAATTAAAAACTATGTATATCATGGGGATTCTGGATAATTTGTAATATGGATAGGAGTCCTGATTGGTTTCCCTCCGTCTGACAATATACGAATATTTTTACATCGACATATGGTAAATATTCATAGAAATGAGTTACACACTGTTTTTGAAATTGTTTAATGGACTAATATTCGCTGTCATAGTGTATAAAAATTGCCTACAAGTGACGGACGGAATAAAGAAATTTGAATCTGAATTTTTATTCCAATCACATTATACAATGGTTTATTAAAAAAAAAAAACATTATTAAACCTCATAGTAAAATATTAGAATAACAATGCAGGATTGATATATTATCATACCTTCTTGCAAAACTTTCAATAGAAATTTACTTTACGCGATGACAAAATAAATTGAAAACATTAATTTAATAATTAAACTGAACAACACAAACCATCGGCCGACGGTTGACTATTTTCATCGAATATTTCACGGCACACCACAGCAGATGGAGAAGACATTTTCAGATCATTCTTTACTTTATAATTCACTACAGGCCATGCCAAAAATGGCGAGAAAAATATATTTAACCACTAAACGACCTCCCATTCTTTTAAAAATATTTTTACAACAAATATCGCACTCGCATAGAAAATTTAAGAATATGACATTTGACACAATTTGACATTTCAAGATATCACATTTTTAAATTATATAAAAGCACAGCGATTTACGCCCATAGGGCCTATGCAAATTTTTATTTTAAGCCTCTCATTCGTAGACAGAGTGTCAACGCTCTTACTAGTTTGTGTTATAAGCTGATTATGGTGGTAAATCCATAGACTTGGAATGGTAATAGAGGATTCAGTGTGTAAGTGAGAAGAAAATCCTTTATAACAATATATCAAACTAGAAAAGGATTTCAAATCTCATGTAGGATAATCTCTCTTTCATCTGCCCCTGAAAAATATCAGGGGCAGATGAAAGAGAGAGTATCCTCATAAACAACAGAGCAATCTTATTTAATTGATTCCTACAAGTTTCCTTACTTAATATATAAAATAAAGGTCCGTATTTCTTGACTACACAATGAGCGGTGAAAACTATGGATGCTTTTTGCGAGAAGAACTAAGCTATGAACTTGACGAAATAAATCTAGATCGAGAAATCGTTCGTCGCATGTGGTTTGAACACGATGGCGCACCACCGCATTTCTCCCGTTGTGTAAGAAATTTTTCGTATACTGAATTCGGCGAAAGATGGATTGGCCGTGGTGGACTGGTCAAATGATCTCACACCTTTAGATTTTTATCTCTGGGGTACGATTAAGTAGTCTGTTTTCCAAAAAATATGCGATACCGTGGCGGTAATGTGTATGCGTATAATCACATCCTTTGAAACAATAAAGTCCGATTTATCTGTTATGCAACGCGTGCGTTCAGACATTGTAAGCCGTTGTCGCAAATGTATAGAGGTACAAGGTGAACATATTGAACATCATGGTGGTCGTCAAGTAGACATAGTGATGAATTAGTGTTTGTGCATAATTACCACAATCGGTCGAAATAAATTTTTAAAACTTGTGATAATCGACTAGTAAATTGATAACAGCTGAGTGATATGACGAGGTCACGACCTTAGTGCAGTTACTGTAGGATTGACGCGTGCGCACATGCGCCCGCGCCCCGTCTTTGATATATGCATCCGGTGGCCACCGCTGCTGGCCGTTTTGCTCTTCAATTTTTCAAATTCTTATGAATACTGATTCTGATAACGCGCTTAATGGGAACCAGAACCACAGGGTTTTGTTACATATTGTATATACACAGAAGACAACATTAAAAAAAAGCTCAACGCAATTCAAATACAATAGTTCCGAAAATAGTTTAAACACGTTTGACTACCCATCACTCTGACAGCAGATTATTTTATTTCACGTGTGCTCAGCTTCTAAAGGATTTATTTCAGACTGCCTTTTAGCATTTGCGTCTTAAACTACAAATAATTATCACAAAGAAATTAATTTAAGGTTTTTAAAGATGGTTTAAAATGTTGCTTGTCAGCCTTTATACAAATTTTTATAGAACCAGCATTCAGGCGATCACCTCATTCCCACGGGATATTTTCAATTATGTATTCATTTATATTATAATAACCCTTTTTGTACAAGTTTTCTTTAATAAAACATTTATACATGTTTAATGACAAATTTTGTACATATTCTGGGATTTTGTTGTAAAAGCGTATACATTGCCCTATAAATGAATTACTAATTCTGTGGAGTCTAGTAATTGGTATTACAAGCTTATGTTTGTTCCTAGTGTTTAAAGTATGAACATCTTCTTACGAAAGTTATTTATGTTTTTCATAAATATATTGTGATGCCAAAGTTAATATGTTTATTTCCTTAAATTTTTCTCTAAGGGACTCTTTACAATTTAAGTTCTTTACAAATATGACTTCAGTGTCAATCAGTATTCATAGTAAGATTCCATAAGACATTACGCTATGAAAGTAACTAAAATAAACTAATCTAGCTGTCTCAACATTGGCTAGACTTCTAATCTGTAATGCTTTACAGCATATGCTGCAGAACTAAGTCTGCCTGCTAATTTAGATTTATGGGGGCCCCATTGAAGCTTCACGTCAATAGTAATACTAAGAAAAACAGTGGTATCCAAAAGACTCAACTCTTCCCCATTTAAGAGCACATTGGTATTTGAATGTTTAACATTAGGTATTGTAAATTTAATACATTTTGTTTTCTTGCCATTTAAGAGCCAATTATTAGCGTTAAACCAATGTACTAGTTTCGATAGAGTATTATTTACATTGTTAAAATTAATTGACTGTCGATTGAGTTTGAAAATTAAAGAGGTATCATCAGCAAATAATACTACATAGTGATTATCCCTACAAGATAAGGTAAGTCTTTAATAATAATTTTAGAAAGTATTCGAATATATAACTAAACTCGAATGTATTTGTAATTACCTGTTTACAAATTACTATCTTGTTTTTATAGATTCACACTGCACTAATTTTGCAATCGACTATTAGTAAACGATCTCTGCGAGTAGTATGTACCTCTGAGCCTTGTGATTTGTATTTCTGTGATGTGTATTTTGCCAAGCTTTGAACTAACTTATAAGTCGGTGAATCAATCTGGCTCACTACGAGACGTACATAGACAGAAACGTTTGAGTTGTGTATCTTCGGTAACCCATACAACCTCGGTGGTTTGGCACATGATGGTATTATTGAATTTTTCAGAGTATTTATTTAAAGTATTTTCGACTTATAAGATGGCTCAACGCTTGGCAAAAATACTGTCCCCGCTGAGAGGACATACTTGAGCCCACACAAAGGATTCATTTTGTTATTGAGATAAAAGACCTACATCGCGCTGACAATGAAACTATGGTCAGTTTTGATGTTAAGTCACTATTTACATGCCTAGCTATTGATGACTGTATCTCAATCGTAACCAGGAAGCCAGAAGAAAACAACATGCCTGAAAAATGATCAATACTACTCGAACACTGCCTCACATCTGGTTATCTATTGCGGAAGGAGGAGTTCTACATGCAAGTAGATGGTGTGGAGATGGGCTCTTGGCTCCGTATCTCCCATTGTCACCTATATATTCATGGAGGACTTTGGTAGACTTGACTTGAGCCCTGTTTACCCCGTCGTTTACTTCCCGTAAATCAAAGATTCTACAAGTGTTATTTAGAAAACACTTTCACAATTTTACCATCTGACAAAGTAACTGCATTTTTAGCTCACCTTAACTCCATAAACTCTAAAATAAAATTCACAAAGGAGTAAGAGGCAAATAATTCTTTAGAATTCCTAGATGTTTTAGTCATTCGAAATTCTGATAACACTATTGGTCACACTGTGTATATGAAAAAGACCCATAACAACCGATATTTAAAGGGTGAATCTCACCATCATCTAGCACAGTTAGGTAACGTGGGTAAATCTTTGTTTCAGAAAGCACAAGGGATCTGTGACAGAAATCATCTGGCCGCCGAGCTTCAGCACGTCAAGCAAGTATTACAAGACCACAAGCCCAGGATCCCGCGCCAAAGCCACAGTGACCGAGTGAAGCCGGCCACAGTCGATTGTGTGCTTGCTGTACCTACCATATGTCAGAGGAGTCACAGAGAAGGTTGGCTACATCTTGAAGCGAGCTTCAATTAAAACATACTACGAGTTGCCGAAGAATATTACTAAATTTTTACTATCTATCCAGTGTAATATTCCCCTACAAGATGCAGGGGTGTACAAGCTAGATTGTGAATCTGGTCTCTCTTACATAGGACAAACAAAAAATCTACAAAATCCCGCATGAAAGAACATATAGCTGACGTGAAGCACAGATGTTCCGGGAAGTCTGCAGTCTGTGAACGTGTTCAAGATCGTTCCCACCATAACATCAGATTTGATAAATCACAAATCCTCGCAAAAGAACACCGATTCACACCAAGGATGATACGCGAGGCTATTGAAATTAAAAAAACATCCTAATTTCAATAAAGGAGATGGATGGGTGCTGTCATCTGTTTGCGATCCTATAATTAACCAAATTAAATCCAAGCCCAAGCATACCACTGCAAGACCTCAAAATACTGTAAGCTTAGATAGCATTCCGTAATTTGCTATACTGTTATGTTGTGTCTAACACTCTCTAATGCAGAAGTTTAGCGTGTTTCGGCGCCATGAACACCGCAATAAGTGATCAATTAAAAATTCGAACTTTCTACCTACCTCCAGAAGTTTTCGAAGCGACAGGGACTAATTCTACTTATAGTTTTAAGAAGATATCTTATATAAAAAAACCAAAACCCATCATCTTCTCATACGAACTTTGATGTTATACCAGATCCGTATCCATTCAGCTCCGATGACGGCTCATACACTGTTTAAACCTAATAAGATGACTAAATATTTTTTATGTTTCCATTGGAAGTTTGATTTTTTATCTTTACTGAAGGTTTATTCATATTTTATTCATATTACAACATCAATAAAAGTTACAGTGGTATTTTATTCAAAAACATTTCTTTTTCAACTAAAACGTGTAACCCCAGCTTATTTAACCACGAGCTCCTCTTCTCTATGACTAATGCTGAAGGCGATGAACCACGCCATTAAGTCCTCAGTACACTGTCGTCGGCCATCAAGCATAAATCGGGAATCGAGCATTGTGAGTATCAAATACAGTCGACTCTTGTTAATTCAAACCTGGGATAATTCAAACCTCTCTATATTTCAAAGTTATCACTTGTTCCCTACAAAATCTCTTTATATTTTGAACTAAATGAATACATTTGTATGCACTTGGTAATACGAACGAAAAAAATCATTGCTACGTAACAAAACCACGCGTAAATTCGATCTCACCGGCGTCGAATATTCAACAATTCAAAGTACCGCCAGTATATTCTAACGGCGCCTCTACACGTTGGCCAACACAGTGGCGAATGTAGTGGCCAATAGCATTGGCCAACGT